CTCTCTCTCTCTCAAATAAATAAAATCTTTTTTAAATAAATAAATAAATAAAATGCTAACAACAGCTAATACAATATTTTCCAGGTACTTCACTCTGCAGTGATCCTCACTGTATCCCTTTGAGAAAGGTACTATCATCATCCTTATTTCAGAGATTTAAAAAAACTGAGGAAAGGAGTTTTATTCTATTGTCAAGGCATTTCTAAGCATAATACTGAAGGTAAAACCCATAAGGAAAAGATTTACTATATTAAAAACATGTTTTGACCACAAACAAAAAGAAAACCTCATGAGCAAAATTAAAGGCAAGCAACATTAGGAAACAGATTTGTAATAGACACTGATGAAAGGTAAGAACCTGATATCCATAATATACAAAGAACTATAAAAAAGCAACAAGAAAAACACCCCACCTTAAATGTATGCAAAGGACACAAATGGGTAATTCATGTAAGCAATGTAAATGGTAACAAGTGAAAAATGCTCAGCATCTCACTGGTAATCAAATGCAAAGAGAAACAATGAAAAGTTACTTTGCCCATTATAGTGGCAAATATCCTAATAGCTAGTGTTTGTGAGACAGCAGACCGTTAACCTTCTTGCAGGACAATATGGCAATGTATAAGTGAACTCTAAAAATACCATGTTTGCTCTGACTCAAGTCCACTTCTAGGGACTGTCCCCTTAAAAAAAAAAAAATCAGGGATGCCTGGATGGCTCAGTCATTAGGCATCTGCCTTCAGCTCAGGTCATGATCCCAGGTTCCTGGGATCGAGCCCTGCATCGCGCTTCTTGCTCAGCGGGGAGCCTGCTTCTCCCTCTGTCTCTGCCGCTCCCTCTGCTTGTGCTCTCTCCCTTTCTGTCAAATAAATAAAATCTTAAAAAAAAAAAAAACAGTCCAAAAAGATTTCTCTATTGGGGCATTTATAAGATCTCTGTTTATCATTGTGGGAAGGAAAACTGAAATGACATAATATTCAGTAATGGAGAACTGGTTAAATAAATAATTCTACCCCTTTTCCCCTTTTCATTCCCTGTTGGGGAAGGAATTGAGGAGTAACTTGAAAGCAATTTATGATAAATGTAAACATCACGTTCAGTGATTAAATTCCCAGAGATCTTAACTAAAGGAATAATCAGACAAGAACACGAGAATAGGGGCGCCTGGGTGGCTCAGTCAGTTAAGCGGCTGCCTTCGGCTCAGGTCACAATCCCAGAGTCCTGGGATCGAGCCCCGCATCGGGCTCCCTGCTCAGCGGAGAGCCTGCTTCTCCCTCTCCCTCTGCCTGCCGCACTCCCTGCTTGTGCTATCTCTCTCTGTGTCAAATAAATAAAATCTTAAAAAAAAAAAAAAAAAAGGACACAAGAATAGGGGCACCTGGGTGGCTCAGTCGGTTGAGGATCTAACTCTGGGTTTCAGCTCAGGTCATGATCTCAGGGTCCTGAGATTGAGCTCCGTGTCGGGCTCCGTGCTCAGCGCAGAGTCCGCTTGAGGATTCTCTCTCTCCCTCTGCCCCTGCCCCCTCTCTCTCTCTCTCTTCCTCTCCCTCTGCTCCTCCCCACTCCGTCTGCTCCTCCCCCACCCCATGCTCACTCCTTCTCAAATAAAGAAAATCTTTTAAAAAAAAGAACACAATGGGGTGCCTGGGTGGCTCAGTCGTTAAGCGTCTGCCTTCGGCTCGGGTTGTGGTCCCAGGGTTCTGGGATCGAGCCCCGCATCGGGCTCCCTGCTCGGCGGGAAGCCTGCTTCTCCCTCCCCCACTCCCCCTGCTTGTGTTCCCTCTCTCATTGTGTGTGTCTCTCTCTCTCTCTCTGTCAAATAAATAAATAAAATCTTAAAAAAAAAAAAAGAACACAAGAATGTATGTACAAAGATGTTCACTGAAGCACTGTTTTTCTAGCAGTGGGAAGTGAGCAAGCCTGAGTATCCACCCAAGGATGATAATGAAGCAAACCTCACAAGCTGTGAGCTCTGCAGGAGCAGGCACGTCATGTCGCTCCAGGTGCTGCCACTCCCCGAGCTGGGCTCACGGCAGTCTCTCACGGGAGGCGTGCATGAATAAATAATAAATGACCACCTCCACGCGTTAGAGGGCTGCCCACCCTATCTGCACGAGGGCAGCCGCCTGCAGTGGGAGGACACCCACGCGGGACCTCTGAGGCAAGGAAGCAAGCGGCCGAACGACATGCGTGGGACAGCGCATTTTCCTAAATAAGAGATACACATCCACACGTATGCTTCACGGGCCCGACGGTCATGAGATACGTACCAGACTGTGCACACTCGTCAGTCTAAGAAGTAAGGGCGGGGGAGGCGAGCGGCCCCCACCTGCCCCTGCTGCCTCACTCCTGCACAGCTGGAGTTCTCGTCCTCAGCATTTCAGAAAGGATATTTGAAATTTAAATTTTTTTTAAATCCAGAGTAACAAGAATGGTGTATCCAGAAGATGGGATGCTAGGCACAGCATTAAAACGCACGTCATGGAAGATTTAACTACACAGAGGAACACATGATGCGCCAAATCAGAACTGCAGGGCTCCACACTGTGAGCACCGAACACTCGCCATGTTTTATGATATCGGCAATATGCGTTGACAAAACAACCAGAAAATGATACTAAAGGGTTAAAATGACTATCTCTGAGTAGTGGGGCTATGATAGTCTTTTTCACCCTTCTCCAAATATCAAATTAAATATACATTATTTTGAATCAGAAATAAAAAATACTTTCAGGTATATAGTGTTATGCATTAGGGTATAATACACGAATACTTACAGAACCAAATAATTGGGAGATACTATAGTATTTCACAGTGTAAACCAGGAACTCCTGGTTAGAACAACACAATTAGGTACGGGGTTTACAAAGCAGTAAAATCACCTTGCTGTAATAGGAAATGGCCTCCTTATACTTGTCAATTATGTCCTCGGGACTAAGACAGTTCTTAGCACGTCCGATTTCAGCACTGGTGTCAGGATTTATGCCATTGGTCGTGAGGGCACCTGCAAACCAAAAGGAAGAAAAGAGATAATCTTTGGCTTTTTCTGTCTTCTTTGTTTGTTTGAAAGAAGGGCACAGAGAGAATAAAACTTAAATACCTCCCCCCCCAGTTTAAATAATGAAGCCGTTTTTAAATTCTTCTAGCTTATATGTATACCCCTGTAAGTCTTACCATCAAAGCACTGCATTAAATGATAATTAACTCAGAGTAAGTTTTCCTCCTTATTGAAGCCTTTTATTAAAGAACATGGGATGCATTATATAAAAGTAACGTGTCCGTAATAACTAGCTTTGCCATCTTGAAGACGACACAGTCGGCGCGCGTTACCTTGCGGCTCTAAGCTGAGTGCTGGCAGGAGGCTGCACGCGTCCTCAAACGAAGATAAACTACATGAAAGTGTTTTCCAAATCGTCCAGCACTAAAGAAACATAACTGACAAACACTAGTATCCTGTCTGTGGCTCCCATTTTCTATTTCTGGCCAACCTCTGTCACTAAGCAGAATGGACGAATTCCCCGGCCATCAGACTCACGTGGGGAAGAGTTCTGGAGAAATCTCCATTTACAGAACATAACCAACTACACATGGAACTCTGACAGGAAAAAAAAAAAAAAGATGAAATAGTTTTTTATTTCATAGAACACAAAAAATACTCTCTTAAGCCTCAGTAACAGAAAAAGCTGGGCTCCTGCTAAGCCACTTGTTTATCTCTCAGACAAACCCCGTCTTCCTGACACCTGCTGGGGGCTTAGGCATGAGGCTGCTGCCGATCCTTATAATCCCTGAGGCCCAGGCATGCATCTCACTGCCCATAACACGCGTGTCAGCTCAAGTCCTACCCTTGCTTCTGATCTTGGCCCAATTCTCTCCTGCTTATTTGGTATTCTGTTATTCTGTAAGCTGCCTTAAATACTTTGGGGAACAAGACAAAAGAATGAGTGGATAGACAGATGGACAGGTGGCAGATGGGCAAACGGACAGAGAGACTCCAAGAAAAGGGAAACAGAAACAGGCTCCTGTACAAAACCCTCCTCTAGCTAGGGAAGAAAGAAGGACAACAGGGAACCATTAAGAGGCAGGTGGCTTGGGATCTTGTTTCCTCCAGATTCTGTGAAAATCACAGCAAGGGATGAGAGGATAGAACTATAAATAATAAGAAAAAAGAGCATGCTTGAAAAACCTAAAATGTATACCTTTTTAAAGAACAGATTCAAATCATCAAGGCCCGATGACACAATCCTTACAGAACTGAGAATTCCATCTCCAAGCCACAAGGCATCCCTTCAGAGCAGTGAGGGTTTACACGGAGTGCTTACAACACCAGCAGAGCCCAAGATACATGATTTTGCACGCAGAAGGACTCAGCATGTGTGCTAAGGACTTTCTCCCATGCTCTCCCTCACAGCCCCCAGCCACACTGTGAGGGAGGCTCCCAGTGTACCTCATTCCTGCAGGTGAGGAAAGAAGTCCTGGGGAGGCAAATATTCTTTGTTAGTTTTCAGAATTGCAGAGCTAGTGACTCCAAAGTAGGATTCAAACTTGGGCCTACGTTTTTCACCATCGTACATAATATTATGCTTTGTGTGTTTTTCATGCATTAATACATTTGTTTCTGGCTAAAAGAATATTTAGTAAGTGTATAGGCAGTTTTGATTTATCTAATAGGCTCCAACAATTTATCTTTCTATCACTGACTTTTACTCTTTTCCCTTGAAGAAAGGAAGGGAAACAACAGGGGCCAGAGTGAGGTGGGTCCTTCATTCTTCATGGTACCTCCTCTCCTCCAAACAGTATGCGATCGAGGAGCAAATGCCCCCTCCACTTTTAAAGAAATGGCACCAATGATAACGAGGGTTCATTTAAGGATTAATTAAACACCAGTATTGATGCTGGGGGAACTCCACGGGCAACAACCCAGAACAACACAATGTGTCGGAAACTAACAACAGCAGAGCTCAGGAGAGAGCTTACCACTAAGGGTCACAGTGATTTCATTTCATTCAATAAAAGAAAAAAAAGCTCTGGGGCACCTGGGTGGCTCAGTCGTTAAGCGTCTGCCTTCTACTCAGGTCATGATCCCAGGGTCCCGGGATCGAGCCAAGCATC